TGCTTTTTTATTTTTATTTATTTATGTATTTATGTATTTATTTATTTATTTATTTATTTTTGGTACTGGGGATAGAACTTGGGACCTTGCCAACAATTCTTTTTTTAATGCATAGGGGGGAAAGGCTGGAGGAATGTACAATTTCCAAAAGTTAATAGTCATTGTGACTAGGGAGAGAGACTTTAATTCATTTTATTTCTGCTTCTTTATATTTTTCTGCTTTTTAAAACTTTTTATTTCCAGCATGTATTACTTTTCTAATTAGAAAAAGGAACAATAAACAAAAAGAAAAAAGTCAAAAACAAAGTAAGAAGTAATAAAAGTACTATGATTTCCCCATCTTCCTGAAAAAAAATTTCTGAAGACCCTTTCTGGAAAAATTTTTTTTCTCCCTGCAGGTAACACTCCTGAGCCTGATGTTTACAGAGACAGTTGGTTTATTGCAATATTAATGTGGTAAATTGAGAAATGCGCTGGTTCCTGACACTTGACTTTATAGGGTGCTGAGTTCTCAGCAATAACATGCATAATAATGTTTTTAGCAATCCCTGCAATTAGGGGGTGGCCCAACTGGAATTGTTACTTTTTTGAGACAGGTACACACACATATGCATGCGAATACTATAGCAGAAATGCAGAACCAACTGGCCCCTTGAAGAAAAACAGCATCATTATCTCCACTTGAGATGGGAAGATACTCAACAACCTAAATATGAACAGATTTGGTACTTTCTTTTCCTTTAGAGAAACACTGATCACCAATATCCAGTATATGAGTCACATAAAGGGAGTGTTGTCACATATGCAGATAGGTGATTCTGCATCTCTGTGTTGTCACAATGCTTTGCACCTTGGGACAAACTAAACTGGTGACTAGTGGCACATAGAAACCCACTCAGCTGTGAAGCTAGATAAGTAGTGAAGGAAGTTATGAAGCTGCACCGTGAGAACCGGCTTTCTCAAGTAGAACTTAATTGTAAGTGCACAACTGTCGAAACATTTATGGAGAATGCTAACCCTACACCATAGCTGGGTTTCTGTTAGGCCCTTTTCCTTTATGATTATTTCCATTCTTTGCACATACACATGTATGGGGGGGTAGGTTTGCAATTTCCTTTCTACTCAATATCAACAATGTGCCTTGGGGCCAAGGATTTAGCTCAGTGGTTCCGCTGTCTGCCTCGAAAGCGCAAGGTCCCAAGTTTGATCCCTTGTACCAAAAAAATTAAACTTGGGCTGGGGATTTAGCTCAGTGGTTCCACTGCTTACCTTGCAAGTGGAAGGTCCAGAGTTCGATCCCCAGTACCAAAACAAAAAACAAAACAAAACAACAACAACAAAAAATGTGCCTTTCCCACTTCTGGAAGGCCAAGGACTTCTCTCTGTTTGACAAGAATTAAAGACAGGACAATATCTCAGAGAATACCTAGTATTAGTTTTGTTTCAAATGTAAGAAAACCACTGTTTCCAAAGTTACACAGCTAATTCATGGTGGTTTTATGGAACCCAGTTGTATTTTATTGTTCCATTGCCTTAGCAGTGTGGCATCCTTCATTGCTTTTCCACCACTCCCATGAATTAGCTGTACAAAGACACAATATTTAGATCGTATCTTTGAAGGCAAAGACAAGACAACCAAATAATTGTTGGGGGAAAAAAATCACCATTTGTGAGGTGAGCATGTCTCATTGATCTGGGATGACCATCTTGGGGCTGATTCAGAGATGGTCCCTGTGCTGAGGATCACTGTCAAACAAAGGAGCCCCAGCTGGCAGTGGTGTGTGTGCACACATATTCACACATGCATGCACACATACGCACACATGGGCACCCCTGCCTTATTAGCAGTTGTACAAATGCACTCTTTGGCCTCTTTCCTTTTGGACATGCAAGTTCTTCCTCTTTAGTGCTTGCCCTATTAACTTTTACTTGTCCTTAAACACAGTTCAAGCAACATTCCTCCAAGACACTTTCTCTGAGCCTCCCTCCATTCCCTCCACCCTCACCTAGGCTCGACTGCTTGCTTCTCCATTGTGTTCCCATGACTCAGACAGGTCCTACCACTGTGCTTGCCAGCCTGCATGAAGACGTCCATTCATGGGCTGGTCTCCCTGAAGGGAACCATGAGCTATTGGACAAGCAGGGACCTCATCTTTCCCCCTTGGTAGCCCAGGAATGGAATGCTGGGGCTGTCACAGATTATCGAGTAAATGAATCCATTCATTGAACACATGACCACTGACTACCTACCCTATGCCATGCCCTGGGGACAGAGCAGGGGAAGAATACAGATGGTCCCTGCCTTCATGAATCATGTATTCTATCAGGGGAACCCTGACACTCCAAAAGTGTCTCTGGAAAAATTACATTTATCACAAAAGATGAATGTTAGATCGGTCTAACACACAGTATATATAAATTCTTATTGCACTGCACTCCCCTATTTCTGCTCACAATAGACCCATGGAGAAACACTTACTATGATTTACTAAAGCTAAATTTTATAAGGAGTGTTGATAGAGAGATAGCACAGACAAATTGTCCAGAGGCAGGCTCTTAATCGCCACAGCAATACCACAAAAAAGACTGGTGTCATTTTCATATAGTAGCATAAAGACAGTCATACCACCAAACCTCATTTAATTAATCCTACTCATTTTGCGTTTTTGAATTACACACTTACAGACATGGCTGACCCACACTTTGACACTGCACATAGAGAATCCAGTTTCAAGAGAAAACCAATTACAATGAACCCTAAATAGCTTTTCAAAGTTTATGTCTTTGTTATGTATGTAGTATATGTGTATGTGTGCACCTACATATATATACATACACTCACATGTATATAAAACCTTGGTTAACCAGATTTATAAATACAGATAAAGATATACAGACAGACAGACAGACAGACAGAGATAGGATTGTTGGAGATTGAACCCTGGGCCTTGCACATGCTGAACATGCGCTCTAGCCCTGAGCTACACTGAGAAGACTCCCATCGGAGGAGCATCAGCTTTAAATACCTGCCAGGCCCAGAGTTGGAAAGCCATCTTCCAAGTCTACTAGTAAAATAAGAACATTCCCACAGTATCCTGACATGTATATTAAATCCAGAGGCCACCAGGAAAAATGGATGCTGCTGTACACATTCCTATCAAAATATTCTCCTATATTTTAATTCAAGTGGAAAAATTAGTAAATACTATACAATCAAAACCCATAATTACATATGGCAGTCATGGGTTTCCTGGTCTGTTCACCCACTATTGTAAAGCCTCCTAAACCCACCCATCAGGGATACGATAGCCCATGAACTTCAGGCTGATCAATGAACTTCAGGCTGATGCAAATATCTCAGACTACAGAATAGCTCAAGGCCATGAAACAACAACTGACAGCTTTTAATTAAATCTGTGCTATTCTATTCATCCTAGATTTTTGCATCAATTTAGATATTTTTAAATATTACATTAATATTTATTTTGATTTCTGAGCCTCCTTACCTTTTGCACCGAGGTGATGGCCCACTCCCAGCCCTCCATCCCTGCTCTGTTTTCCTTCTTTCTTCACCATCTTCAGCATCAGAGAACCCAGAAAGTTTGGTTAGCTACATGCAAGCGCAGGGGCAGGAACAGAGGTGAAGGAGCCTTTCTTCTACCCACAGATGGTCCAAGCTGCTAGAGAAGAAAGGAGTGGGAAGAGAAATCAAGATGTGTCCTCTGATTCCATCCCACACGATTTGCTTATTCAATGTATTGATTACATAAAATTACACATGACACAAATGCCTGGCAGTGGGACTTTAATTGTGAGCAGAGGAAACACCCTATGTGATGTAGGAAAAAAATTTGAGATTCAAAGTCAAAGACCAAAGTTCTACTTCTGGCTCCTCTACCTAGAAGCTGGAAAAATACTCTGGCAGCCTCAATACTTCATCTATAAAGTCAGTGAATATTACTGAACACTCTCAATGTCCTAGGAGAACATAATTACATGCTTTGGGGGAGAAAGGGGGGGAAAGAGGGAAATAGCCAATGCTGTCTATACAGCAAGCCCTAAGGGTAGAGATGTGTGCAGGATGCTATGGAAATAGGGCCCTGAGGAGAGCAACTGCCATGGGTAGGGAGCTCAAGATGGTGAAGGCTGAGCTGGGTGGGGTAGAAATGGTAGCAAGAAGATATGTGAAGCTGACAAAGAATGCCTCACCCAGAGGGGACTGCATACATAAGAGTGGGAGAGTGGACTATGAAACAATCAAACTCATGGACGCTGAGCAGACTGGTGGTTGCTGAGGGGCTGAAGGGAAGGGGCTAGGGGGTGAGTGTTAGTTTAGGGGAGCAAAGTTCCAGTTATGCAGGATGAGTACCTTACGGAGATCTAACGCACAGCAGTGCAGCTGTTAACAATAGAAACTATGTCAGATGACAGATTATTCATCTGTATGTTAATGAGCCTGAGTGTCATGATTATTTCACAATGTGTATGCACATCAAAACATCAAGTGGCAGCTAGACACAGTGGTGCAGGCCTCTTGCGCACATGCTCCTCAGGAGACTGAGGCAGAAGCATCACTTAAGCCCACAAATTTGAGACCACCCTGGACAACATATCAAGAACTGTTTCTATATGCACAAAAAAACCCCAAAGCCCCCAAACCAATTCCAAAAAAATCCCATCAACTTGTACATATTAAATATATACAAATTTTATTTGTCAGTTAGACCTCAATAAAGGAGAGGAGTGAGGAGCCCAAGTAGCTTCACTGGTTTGATAGACAGTTTCCATGAGACATTAGTTAAATACTACATAAGGTTAATGATTATTAACCCCCCACACACTGTCCCTGCTTCAGGCCCATGCCAGGTGGCCAGGTCTCAGGGCTGTCACAGGCACTGGGGCTGGCTACTCCAGGATGTGCCTATCAAATTGTGATTTTTGTGAATGGCACCCCCCAGAATTGGGCAATCGAAGGTACAAGGCTCATTAAGATTTTATTTTTATTTTAAGCATAATCAATGAACCTGAAAAGCTTCCAATGTCTTTAAGAATGTGGTAAAATACACAGGCTTGTAACTCTTAGGAGTATGACTGTGGAGTCCTCTTTGATCCTTTCTCTTCCCAGCAAGAGACATACAAAACCATGGGAATGGGCTCAGGGTGCATAAGGTCCAAGCCGTGTCTGGCTAGAGGGAGGGAAGTAACAAAAAGAGAGGCAGTGCTCTGCAGGTGAGAGACAGTGATTAACAGGAGGCATTTACAATTGCCTTTCTCTTTTGAGCACACTTTGTCCTGTGCTAACAACAGCTCAGTCTCTGTCTCAGCTACACAGCACCTGTGAAACTGGCTGCTACAGCATGTCAGTATGCCCTGCCCCAGGGTGATCACAATGCAGATACTATAGTCATAGGGTCTGGAATGCCTGGTGCTGGCCTCATCACATCTCTTGCCCACAAAATGCAACCATCTAGAAATGAAAGGCTGCACCCAGGAAAAAACTTCAGTCAATCTCTGATGGGCCAGAATCATGGAGCCTTAGCTTAGATGGAAATAACCACCTTTCCCAGTTAATCTCAGTGTCTTAGTCTGTTTTGTGGTGCTGTAAATGAATACCTCGGACAGGAGGAATGGAAGGTTATTCAGGCTCACGGTTTGAGAGACTGGGAAGCCTCAAAGCATGGTGCTGGCATCTGTTCCTTTTCTTATAAGGGCCTGGCGCTGCTTCAACTCAGGACAGAAGGTAGAAGGGCAAGCAGGCATGTGTAGAAGAGGAAATGTGCTCTTTAACAAATAGCTCTCAAGAATTCAAGAGCAAGAAGCCACTTGCTCCCAAGAGACAGCACTAATCCCTTTATGAAGGTGACTCCCTCATGGCCCCCAAACTATTTTTTGTTTGTTTGTTCAGGCTGACCTTGAACTCACTATGTAGCCTAGGCTGGCCTTAAAGTCTCAGTGATCCTCCTACCTCAGCCTCCCAAGTGCTGGGCTTACTGGCATGCACCAGCACACCAAGCTACCCAAAACTCTTAAAGGCCCCAAACCTCTCAACACTATTATATTGAGGATCAAGCCTCAACATGCATTTTAGTGGGGACAAACCATACCTGAAATACAGCACATAAGCCCATACTATGACATATTATGCAGAATATTAAATAATAATCATTAAAGCTATAGAAAGAGAAATGTGTGTAAGAAATCTTAATGTAGGATCTGGGGATTTAGCTCAGTGGTTCCGCTGCCTGCCTCGCAAGCACAAGGTCCCAAGTTCGATCCCCAGTACCAAAAAAAAAAAAGAAAAAGAAATCTTAAAGTACACAAAGTGTTAGATATGATGCAATTATAATTGGATAATTATAATTGGATGTGCCTGGTTAAAGTCTAATAAAAAACATCAAATCAAAACTAACTATCATAATGGGTAGGGGTTTCTTTATATGGAGATGAAAATGTGTTAAAGTTAAGTCATGGCATGGGCTGGGGATTTAGCTCAGTGGTTCTGGCGCCTGCCTCCAAAGTGCAAGGTCCCAAGTTCGATCCTCGGTACCAAAATAAAAACAAAAAAGAATACCAGGAACTAACAAAGTTAAGTTATGGCAATGGTTGAACTCTGTCAATAAACTAAAAGCACCAACCTGTACATTTTAAATGTGTGAATTTTATGGCAACTGGTTTATGTTGCAACAAACACAATTCTTAAATAGAATTATGTTCTTAAATAAGGTACAGTACTTACATACAAAATTTTATTTTGTCAGGGTAGTAAGATTATGCAGCTTCATCCACCTCCACATTCATCCACCTTCCTCAACCTCCTCCACAACCTCCCCAAAGTGGCTTTGGAGGCCAAAGATGCAATGGAATGAGTGAGAAACAGAAAAGCTCTGGTTTCATGCTGATGGGGATAACAGCCCAAAAAGAAGAAAAAGAAAGAAAATAAGAAAAGAAAAGAATGAAAATAAGATTATAAGTATAAAATCCAAAATAACAGTAGAAATAAATTAATTCTAAATTTTCTGTATTAGTCACCTTCCCATTGCTGGTATAAGATACCTGATACTTACAATTTAAAGGAAGAGAGGTTTATTTTGGCTCACAGTTTCAGTGGGTTTAGTTGGTAGCTCCAAGGCAGAAATGGTGTCTTAGTTACTTCTCTCTCATTGCTGAGACAAAATACTCGACACCCAAAATTAAAGGGGGAAGTGTTTATTTAGCTCACAGTTTGTAGAGGTTTCAGTCCATAATCAGCTGGCTGCAAGGCAGAGAGGCAAGGCAGACAGTCACAACAGAGGAGAAACAGTTCATGGTGGGCAGAAGGTAACAAAGTAACAAGGGACAACCACAGCTCTTTCTATCTTTTATATCTTATCCAGGCTACTTAAGGTGGATAGTACTCACACTCTTAATCCTAGTGCCCTTGATCCTAGCATTGCACCATGAATCAATCCCAGCATCACACATTTTAGATCCAGCTACCTCTGAAAAAGCCCCACCTATAACTGCATGAGGCTTTGGGAGACATCTAGAAACAAACCATAACATTCCTCACCCCAAACACTCGTGCACATCCATTTATGTAAAAGGCATTCAGTCCATCTCTAAGAGCTGCCAAAGTCCTAACAGTTTCAGAATTGCTGAAAAGTCCAAGTCCAAAGTCTCCTCTGAGATTTAAGGCAAACTCTTAGCTTCAAGCCCCTGTACAAATGCACTTGATCTTAGCCAAAAGGCCGAGAAGCGATAAGCCCCTGTAAAAATGAAAAGAAAGTAGACATTTCCATTCCAAAAGTTACAACACGGGGATACAAATGAATGGGACCAAAGCAAGTCCAAAATCCAGCAGCGCAAATACTAAGTCTTATAGTTCCTTGTGCTGCATCCAAGGCAATCAATCTGTAGCAAGATGTGAACTCCAAAGGGCTTGGAGTTCAAGCCCTTGCAGTTGTTCCACCCCTATGGGACCACTAGTGGTTGTAGATCCCATGACCTCTCTTGGGCTGGTTCTGCTCCCTCCTTGCAGCTTTCCTCAGATGATCCACATTCCTGGCTTCTCCAAACTTTCAGGGTCCCCATCACACCTTTGGCTTCACACTCACAGCTTCATACATTGCCCTCTCAGGTGCATGCTGTCTGGCCTCCCAGGCCTTCTTCTGAAATCTGGGTGGAAGCCCTCCTGACCCCACAACTCTTGCATTCTGCATGCATCTAAAACTAACACCATGTGGATAATGTGAAGCTCCACTGCCATCTGGAGCAGTACTCAGGCTTTCTTCTCCCTTGGGTTTAGGGGTTGAATGCCTATGAACCAAATCCTGAGGAACAGCTTCCCTAGGCTGTCACCATTTTGGAACATGATGCTCTGGGGATCTGTTCTCAAAGCAAAAAATCTTTCACTTTTGCAATTTTGAGGCTGCAAAGGCTAGAGTCCTGCTGCTTCTTGTGACACCCTCAGGCCATCATTTCTATTCCTTTCTTTCTGAGCAATCAAGATCTCTGTGGTATCTCTGCGGTCCACAGCTTTACTGGTGCCTCCTTTCTGGCCAAATTCACAACGTTTTAAATCATTTTGCTGGTCTCTGTGCTCCTGATTTTTATCACAGATCTAGCTAAAAGCCCTCAACAGCTGCCATGCCATGGCCTCAACATGAGACTGCCTTGAAATTTCTTCAGCAAGATTGATTAGTCTGCTGTCCTTATTCTTACTCTCAAGAAAAGTCTCTGGACACAAGCAAAATGCACACAAACTTTCTGCCAAAGTGTAACACACATTGTCTGGAGCCCAAGAACCCATGCAGTCCTTCCCAGCAGAAACCTCCTGAGTCTGGTCTTTATTGGCAGGATTTCTATTACTCTTCTGGTCTTCTAAGATATAACCAGAATCTCCCAACAAGTATAGCCTAAGGCATTCCAGCTCTACTTTTTCAGCCACCACTTTGAACCTTTCCGAACTCTTCCCACAAGCTAATCCCAAAGGCTCCAGAACCACATGGTCAGGTATAGTCACAGCAATGACCCCACTTCTGGTACCAAATTCTGTCTTAGTTACTTTTCTCTCATTGCTGGGTCTTTTTTTTTTTTTTTTTTGGTACCAGGGATTGAACTCAGACCTTGCACTTTCCAGGCAGGCACTGGAACCACTGAGCTAAATCCCCAGCCCTCATTGCTGAGACAAAACACTAGACATCCAAAATTGAAGGAGCAAAGGCTTATTTAGCTCACAGTTTGTAGAAGTTTCAATCCATAATTGGCTGGCTCCAAGGTAGGGTGGCATGGCAGACAGGCATCACAGAGGAGAAACAGTTCATGGCAGGCAGAAGGCAGCAAAGCAACAAGAGATGACTAGAGCTCTATCTATTCCTTATATCTTATCCAGGCTACTTAGGGCGGGGAGACTCACAACCTTAATCTGAGTGCCCTTGATCCTAGCATTGCACCATGAATCAATCCCAGCATCACACATTCTAGATCCAGCCACCTCTGGAAGAAGCCCCACCTATGACTGCATGAGGCTTTGGGTGGACATGTACACACATGCCATAACAAATGGCGTGGCAGAACAGCAAAGCAGAGAAAAGCTGTTCACCACGTGGTGCCTGGGAAACAGAGAGAAGGGAGGGACAAGAATACACTTTCCCAAGTTACAACCTCAGTGACCCACCTCCAGCCAGGCCACATCTCCTAACAACACATTCAGCTATTGAACCCATTGATGAATATAGCACCCCCATGAGCCAAACACCTTCTAAGCACATGAGGCTTTTGGGGGACATTTTAGATCTAAATCACAATGATTACAGAAATAGAAGTAAATAGGTTAACCATACCCATTAAGAGGTAAAAAAATCAAAATCTTGGTTTACTTTTCACAAGAGGTAACACCTAAAACAAAATCATATGAAAGGCTAAATGAGTGGATAAAGATATATGGCGAATCTATATTAATAGGATACATAATAAAATTTAAATTAAAAAAACCTTAATGAAGATAAAAAGGGATACTCCATAACAGAAAAAAATCTTCAAAGACCATTTAATCATTGTAAGCTCTGTATAACTAAAGACTTAAGCCTCCAAACCATGTAAGACAAAAAGTTGATTAAGTTTTTAGAAAATCTTAATTTTTAACAATCCTGATGGAACATGCTAGATTAAGCAGGGAAAATTAGTTAAAAATAAAGAATGTTGATCAATAGGGGGCACAATCAAATGGAGATCAATACCTTCCCCAACTATAGAAAAAAGGATAAATGGTACACTTATTAAAAATTTTTTGTTGTTTTTTTGAGACAGGGCTTCACTACACAGTTCACGCTGGCCTTGAACTCATTAAGTAGCCCAGGTTGGCCTCAAACTAATGGCGATCCTTCTGCCTCACCATCTTGACTGCTGGGATTACAGGTGTGCACCACCACACGTGGTGGCCAACTTACAAACATTTATCAGATATGAGGTAAAAAGCCAAAACTATTATAGCCCGTTCTCTGTTAACATTGCTAAAGAAAAAAAAAAAAAGAAAAGCACAGTTTAAATATATCTTAAGGTCAACTGCCCAAAACTGTGCAGCTGAAATTTAAGTCATTCTTATTTCCTTGATATGCTAGTTGTAATCATAAATTACTAGAGATTTATATACTCATCAGCATAATTCACTGACATTAAATGAACCGCTTTAGCCAAGTCAGCTAAACTATCCTGCTTTCCTTAAAGAGAATGTTAATATATAACTTAAAAAATTATGAAAGGTAAAAATACTCCCTCCTTGAACTTTATAAACTGTGCTGTAACTGCTACTGAACAGGACTTTTTACCACTTTTCATATGAAGTCTCCTACTTTTCAAAGTTCTTCTCTATGTACTAATAAATAATAAACTGTGCATGTGTATTGCTAGAGATTAAACCCATGGCCTCTCCTATGCTAGGTAAGCATCCTGCCACTGAGCTACATCCCCAGCCTATGCAGAATAAACTTCTTAAAATTTGTAAATTCACCTGACTTTGTTTTTGGTGTCAGAAGTGGAACTCATAAAACAAAGTTAATGAGCCCTGAGACTGGTGAATAATCAGGTGCTAGCACCACAGAGTCCACTGCACTCAGACCTTGCAGTGAGGCCTAGGATAAGTCTGACAGATCTGAGCACCCATCTGCACTTTGAGTTCTCCAACTTTATTAAATCTATCTGTACAGTATTTATTTGTTGGAGCTTCCTAGTAAGTTACACTTTCTTTTTCTACAAGGAGGATGGGGACTATGTAGTGGCTAGACTCCCAAGGCTTACTAGCATCTGAGGGAAAGCAAAAGGAAAGATGGGTTCCACTTGGTCTAACAGACCAGGGTCTTGTGGCTTTCTGGAAAAATGAGTGAACTTTACAGTAATAATATGAAATTGCAGGGGTTACTCTGGAGAACATTCAATTTAAGGCAAAGTCACCCATCTTAGGGGGGCCCTTATGTAAGAGGATCCTGGATGTCTCAAAAACAAGGGAGGGCCGGGGATTTAGCTCAGTAGTTCCTCTGCCTGCCTCGCAGCTCAAGGTCCCAAGTTCGATGCCCAGTACCAAAAAAACCAAAAAAACAAAAAACAAGGGAATACATTCTTTGATTGGTATACAGAGGCTTCCAAAATACAGAAGTGAGACAGGGACTGATTAAAACTGGCTGGGAAAGGAGGCGTGACAAGATCCAGGAACATAGGCACAGAACAGTTCCCAAAGCCCTGCATGTGGACTTCTCATGAGAACTGGAGCAGGGTTTTTTTTATGTTTTGTTTTGTTTTTGTACCAGGGATCAAACCCAGGCCTTTGCACCTGCCAGGTAGGCTCTGTACCACTGAGCTAAATCCCCAGCCCTTGAGCAGGGTTTTTGATAGGATGACCTACACCTGTCCTCAGCCTGATCCAAAAAGGGTTTTTGCCACTGTGTT